TTAGACTCGAGGTGTGAGAAGGGTATTTTTGTAGGGTATGATAAAAACAGCCCAGCATACCTAGTCTACAACCCAGACACTGGTAGTGTTCGAAAACACAGGCAAGTGAAGTTTGTCACAAAGAGTATAGTCGAGCGACATACACAGACTGATTTTGAGGCAAGTGATGATGATTTTTATGAGAAAAGGTTTGTATCCACCAAGCCAGAAACCCAGGGGACTGACTCGTGTCCAAAAGAGACACAGGAGGCTCGAACTGAGACAGATGACACAAACACTCAGACAGGAAAGGGAGCAGAAGGTCAAAATAGAAGCTATCCCCAAAGAGAAAGGAAGAGACCTCAGTATTTACAGGACTATGAATGTAAAGTACAGTGTGACGACCAGAAGTATGTAAATATTGACTACTGCTACAGAGTAATGTGTAATGTACCAAACACCTTTAAAGAGGCCATGAATTCAGCAGAGTCAAAACTCTGGACTGATGCTATGCAGGAGGAAATGAATTCTCTTAAGGAAAATGACACATTCACATTGACCACACTACCAGAGGGCAAAAATGCAGTGGGGGGTAGATGGGTCTATACAATCAAAGAAAACACAGAAAAGACTGAGATATATAAAGCCAGATATGTTGCCAAGGGATATAGTCAAGTGGCAGGAATAGACTATAAGGAGACATTTTCCCCGACTGCAAACATGACATCAGTACGAAGTTTGATGCAATTGGCAGCTCAACATGACTTACACCTACATCAGATGGATGTTAAAACTGCATATTTACACGCTCCAATTGATTGTGAGCTCTATGTACAGCAACCTGAAGGTTTTGAGGTCAAGTCAGACACAGATGAAAAGCTAGTCTGCAAGCTGAATAAATCACTGTATGGGTTAAAACAATCTGGAAGAAACTGGAATAAAATGTTGCATGATCATCTCTGTGAGAACGGTTTTGCACAAAACCCAGCTGATCACTGTGTCTACAGTAAAGGAATAGAAAATGAGAGGATCATTCTGATTATTTGGGTGGATGACTTAGTTATCGCAGCTAATGATATTCACACAATTAATACTGTGACAGAAATGTTGAGCACAAAATTCAAAATGAAGGATCTTGGGAAACTTAAACATTTCCTAGGCATTGACTTTACTCAGGAAAAAGGAGAAATAAAGATGGGTCAAAAGAAATTCATTACAAAAATACTGGAAAAGTTTGGTATGAATGACTGTAAGCCAAGGTCCACCCCATGTGAACAGAAACACAACTTTGATGATGATGGTGAAGCTGTTGATGCAACACAATATCGTGAAGTGGTAGGCAGCTTAATATATTTAATGACATCTACACGGCCTGATCTAAGTTGGATAGTCAGTAAACTGTCACAGTATTTTTCAGAGCCAAAAGAACAACACTGGTTAACTGCTAAACATGTATTGAGGTACTTAAAGGGCACAATTAATCAGGAGCTATGTTTTAAACAACAAGATGAAAAACTGAAACTTGTTGCATACTGTGATGCGGATTGGGCAACAGACCAAAATGACAGACGGAGTATAACAGGGTACTGTTTTAGTCTAACTAGCAATGGGCCTGTTATTTCTTGGAGATCAAAGAAACAGCAAACAGTAGCTTTGTCGACATGTGAGGCAGAGTACATGGCACTGGCTGCCACAGCACAAGAGAGTGTGTATCTTGTGCAGCTAATAGAGAGCATGGATAGTGAGGGTCAATATACTCTTGTGAAAATCTTTGACGATAACCAGGGTGCAATTGCTCTATCCAAGAACCCAGTATGTCGTCAACGATGTAAACATGTGGATGTCAAGTATCATTTTGTTCGAACTGTACTGAGTGATAACATGATAACCATTGACTATTGCCCTACAGCTGATATGGTTGCTGATATTTTCACTAAGCCTGCAACAAAGGTCAAAAGTGAGACATTTGTAAAGTATTTGTTTGGAATGTAAATAACCCCAGAAGTTTCAAACACTGTGTTATTGTGCAGGTGTATAAGGTGTTTACATTTGAATTCATGTTGAGAAATTGTGCAGTATAAGAGTAAGTGGGGGTGTTGAATTATGAAATGTAATATATGAATTCTGTTTATTTAATACTCTTATACTAATCACTTCCTGTATTCCCGTGATAAAAGGGACATGCGCAATAAAACGTGTCACTTCCGTTTGAAGCACAGCTGATGGTGTATGTGTGTATTTATTCCTCTGTCACGTTAACTATGTTCACGGTATTCCTGCCCTAAGATCATGGCATCGCTAACACCTCTGATATGCGTAACAACGGACATTAAATACGTGGAGGGCCGGTGTTGCAGTATAACGTGAGTCATGACAACTGGCGACATTCTATTATTTTCGTCATAGGAATCCGGGGCGTGTACAAATGAGGACCCATTGTTGACTTACCATGTCGATCGCCTCGTTTGTCGTTTACGTTCATCTTTTGCTATATCTGCCTTCCTAAGATCACTTTGATGCACATTCAGTACTCGTATGTGAGGTTGTGGGTGAGAGGTGGATATCGTGACGCTTACAGGGAGGTATCGAACATTACAAAGTAGGTGACTGTGTGGATGATCCACACAGTCACCTACGTATCGACGTATCGAACCACCACACTAAAATATTTTACATTAACCTTGTTAAAAAGTTCCAGAAAAATGCAACCTGACCATTATTTATAATGTGAGCGAATGTAGGCCTATATAATATACATATTATAATATAGTATACTGACTGAGGTCTGTATCAAGCCTCATTAAGACCCACCGAGATCAGATATCCTAGTTTATCAGCCTGCGAGCCCACATTATGTTGTGATAACTGTTAGTTTTACAGTGGTATCGTGTTGATCCGTGGTGCACTCATAACGCGCAGGGCTGGAGTGACTTTTGCTGTTGGGACTCGGGTTTGAGTCCAGCATGAACTTTTTATTTTCATGTCGATGGACACTGAATATTATGTGGTTTGAATAGAGGATTCCTAATATTGTTTGCCGACACCAACATTAATGACCCATCAGCATTTTAAAGTCTAATATCCCTGCACATGCAGCAATGACATTTCTGCTGCTATCTTTGCAAAACGAGTTAACAGTCACATGTTATCTGGATGAGTGCTGCAGAATGCCGTTTTTATAAGGGATGTATATGTGTGTGTCTTTCATATTAAACATGATCGCTGGTAGATAGCCACAGAAGTCGTAACACAGTTTAACCTGGGCGGATCCCATTTTCCCATGGGTGGATCCCAGTTGACCCTGAGCGAATCACAGTTTACCTGAGAGGATCACAGTTTAACACAGCTGAAGACTTCTCCACGCTGCTTTCAAACTCTGAGTAAACAACGTACGCTTCACTGGGAGGCTGTCTGAAGGTGTACACAGGTCTTAGATGGACTTGGTATCACATTAGGAACGATATTCAGTGATAAGTCGGGCAACAATAGCTGGTTTTAAGGATTTATTGGAGCTCGCAATGTTTTGAACAGACATCCAACTCGTTTTTATTTTTGTAGTCCTCGCTGTTCGTGTCCGGATATCGCCATCGTAACCACAACCTCACACACTGGTACTGAATGTGCATCAAAGTCTTCCTACCGAGCCAAATATACAAAAATATGTATGTAAATGACAGAAGAAGCGATCGAAATGTGTATTTCAGTCGAAGGCCACGCCTCCACATCTGTCAACCAGTTGATCGGGGAACCAGTTAATCCAGAACACCGGCCCCCAGCAGTGCCGACCGGCACACAAGGAGGAGCCAGCAGAAGGGATATAACAGCTGGAAAGGCGGAGCTCGCTCTCTTTTCTTCGCTAGCGAGAGCCAGAGGACAGCTGCTTTTCTGTCGAACAATATTCTGTTTGTAACATAACCGCGCCTTTATTTTTAATTAAAGTACCAATTTGAAACCATCTCAGAGACTCCATTTAGTCTCCTTTTTAAGCTTCTCTCCTGGACGCGAGAATAACGAACACAGATAACAGGCGTCATCACAAACGGATGTCGCTTCACGTGACGCTCCGGAGGAAAGGACGTCCCATTGCTCTTAAAACTCATTTCCCTGCTTCTCGTGGTTTCCTTGCGTCCCTCCATGCTTCCCCGGTGGGAGGGACTAGTCGCAGGGAAACGACGCAAGTGAGGGACGCAAGGATTTAATTGAACCGACCTGAGACGGGGCCATAGCCTTTAAGAGCTGCCGACATAAATGGATGCGGTGCTTCCCTGAGCGTCAAATACCGCCACCGATGGGAATACATTGCAATCAGTTGAAAGCTCTTTGCGTCCGTTTATGAAGCCAACTGCACGCCACTGGACCCTGACCAAGCATCGCTCCTGGACGCTTAGGGAGTGAGAGTGTGTTGGGAGGAGAGCTCTCTCCTGTCAGACTGAGAGTCTCAGATAATCTCAGCTCAGGTGAAGTAAATGACTCTGAGGGTTCAGATAGTTAACTTTAGTCTAAGTGATCTCAGTGGGTCAGGGTCTCAAACGGTTTGGTCATCATTTATGTAAACAAGTATTACATTATTATTATAGTTATAAAAAAACAAGACAATAAGTGAAAAACAGGTATGAGATAATACCAAGTCATACTATAGGACAGTACAACTAAAATACAGTTTGAAAGGGGAGTGATTTGTAAAATGTGTATAAAGAAAAAGTAAATCTGTTTACAGTTCTTTTTCATATGGGTGTTGAGAGATGTAACCATATTCTAGTCCTAATTTTGCCCTCAAAGTGATGCATTTAACTTCAAAATGTAAGCATGCCCCCGGACCCCCTTAGAGGATGTTAGGTCCACCCCCAACTTAAAACATGTTCACATGGATAGGATACTAGATACATCTGCACACATTTTATATAGTAACCTATGTCCATTTGTTTCTGTTTTGGTAGTCGTGCCACAACCGTACGCGAGTCATAGTATAGTCTGGTAGAAATAAAAAATAACCCTAACCCCTGGTAGAAACACACTCTTACTTTGTGTCTGAGGGTCCAGGTTCATTCCTGAAGTTTAGAGGAAAGTCTTTAGACCAGTCACTCTTCAGAGACAGACAGCTGGGGACTGGAGACTCTGCTCTCTGTCTGTGGAAACAACACATGTTTTAAACATCATTAGTTCATTCAGAGAGCAGTTTTTGACTTCTGTCTGTGTGTAGATTATTTACTATCGCTGATGACGCCAGGGATCAAGAGTTTAAACTTTATTACTGTACTTTACTCCGATCATTAAACAACAGTTCTGATAACATAAAAACGGAATCCTCTTCAGGTCAGGTTACAGCAGAAACTCTTACTTTGTGTCTGAGGGTCCAGGTTCATTACTGAAGTCTGGAGGTCTGTCTTTAGACCAGTCACTCTTCAGAGACAGACGGCTGGAGACTGAAGATGTGTCCTCTTCCTCATCTTTTAAACCACTCATCTTCTCCAGTCTGAGAGAGAGACAGACACACACTTTGTCTGATGTAACTGTAAGGTAATAAAGTACACACACACACACACACACACACACACACACACACACACACACACACACACACACAAATATAAACCATAATAATACACTTGGTTAAAGAACATCAAATCAGTCAGACTTCCGACAGGCCGCTCCCCATTTTGACTGCGCTGGGCTGTCGCATGTTATGTTGCTTTGGTGAATCAGAAAACAGGAAATGAAACCAGTTCACACCACTTGTAGAAGTCTCTTTGGACTCTAGGACGCTGATGTTCTGACATCCAGTAAAACAGAGTAAATAATGTGTTAGAAAGCAGATCCTGGTGTTAACACTCACCCTGTTGTCCTCCTGCTCCGTCCAGGTGTAAAATGGCGTCTGGCAGTCTGACAAGTCTGACTTCATACTTTCACTTTCAACTCCCCTTCCTGTCTGCAGCTCCTCTTGATTCATAACCAGCCTTATCAGCTGAACCAGTTCACATACAGGGACTTTGTTCAGTGAGATATAAATAGAGCTAAACACAAGCTCAACAGAGTTATTGAAATAAATATATTAAAACCACAGTGTGAAAATCACCCAGTAAACATCCTGCATTCAAAACCTTACTTTAGTTAAAGTGTGTAGGTATTGAAGTACTCTTGTGTTAACGGTGCATTAAATTGTTCCCTATTATATATATGTGTTTCTGGATTAATAACCCTGCTGCATTTACTGAATTTATTACTGTATTTTCCCAGAGTATAAATGGCCTTTTTTGTTATTGGCACCATGGAGCCTATGCATGTTGGCTACAACCACATTAACATTTATTGCTCACAATTAACTTAAGACGAACACAACTGTGTTTAATTTATAGTTAGATCAAGAGGTTAATAGACCTTTTTAAAACTGATTGTCTAATGATTTCAACCCACCATTGAGCGCTGTTAAAAAGCAACAAATAAAATAAAGAAGTGAACCATTGATGCCTGAGCTGGACTGATTTTTTTTGATGGTTTGATATTTCTCAAATATACTGTATACAACAGAAAACTAAAAAATAGTTAATTTAATCAAATGTTCTGACGTCTGAAAAGTTGGTCAAGCTCCAGCAAGAGGACAATATTTAAATGTTATCAGGCCGGCAACAACATTTTTAATTTCAGATTCACCAGCTAGCTTTCAAGTTAGCATGAATTAGCATTGCTAGTGTAACCCATTATGTAATCTTACCCTGCTGGTAGGCGATCTGTAATGTTAACGATGGCTTCAGCATAGAAGGTATCCCAAACCCAAAATACACAACAAAGGTTTACTCTAATTCTAGGTTGGATCAGGATATTGGTTTAGCAAACTCTATAAGTAAGGGATGTAGAAGTATTCCACATACTATGTCATTTTCTTAACATATTTTCGATATACTATTCTAACACTAGCACCAAAGTAAGTACTGAGCACAGAAATATATCAATGAATCAGTTCCACTAACCCTAAAGAATATTGGGCAGCGCATCAGAAGATCCAGGTCGCTCAGGAGAAGATGGATACTGTGCAGCAAAGGTGAAGGAAGACTCAGCAGGTACGTTTGAAAGGGTCACACACAATTCATATTTATTGTCTTTTCTTTGGGAAGATATTCCGCATATTTTTAAGATAAAGCAATCAATACAACAATTCACAGAATTCTTACCAAAATAATAATAAATGTACCCTTTTTTAATGATATTTGAGAGTATCTGGTTCCATTGGCTTTTACCTGTTAATTTGTATTCATATTTTGTTCCTATAATTTAGTGTTATTATTTATGTTTAGTTATTCCTATTAATTTTAAGCGAGGTGTTAGTTAATCATTAGTATTTAAGCTATATCTATCTATATCTTTTTATTGCTCAATGTATTATTTCGAACTGTAACAGTTAAAGTAAACTTATCACAATGCATTAAATACTTTAAAACAAATATAATCAACAACTCAATATCAGATCAATAGAATAATCCCTCTCATTTAGAGCTAATGGTTGTCAGTCCAACCTCACATCACTTCAGTCGTTGGAGCTCTCCAGAACCACACTCTGCTTTCAGCTTGTGAAGAAACACAAATATACTGTCTTATTGTTGAAGAAAGGTGAAATAAACCTCCCTCTCTCTTCAGGTTGCTCAATGGGTGGCTCGCCAGACTGCAAACGGCCACAGCACTCCAGCAAGGAGGGCCGCGTTGCAGACAAATCCAGAATCTGGACTTTACATCTCAAACAAAAGACCCGATCTTGACAACAAAGCCAAGAGTCGTATTAATCTCTATATAATTACACATAAATTAAATGCAACTGCATACAGTATTACTTAAGTCTCAAACAAATAAAAATGCAATAAACTATTTAAAATGTAAATGATTTGTCATGTCATTACACTCTGTCATTTTTAACAACCATTTTCATTCTATACAGCCAGCTACAGTTAGCTTTACCTTGTATTTTTTTAAGTGTACATTGTTCATGTTCAATGGCAAAATACCAACGGTTAGCTGTGGTAGCTATGCTAACACGCTAGCAACGGTTATCCGCGGCTAATTTAGCATCAATCTTTACACTAAAAACACACATTTAAATCTCATATTTTCTCAAAACTCACCAAGGATGTCTTTTAAAAGGCGGTGCTCTTGAAACCCTCTGGCAAAGAAGATCGCTTTAAGTCTTATTTTCCCCAAATCATTTATACAAAGCTATCGCTGCTGAGTCCTTGGGTGTTTCTCAATGTCGAGGACGCTTCCTTGGTAGGACATGTCCTCCGAGTCAGGTCCATCAGAGGCTAGGCAAGAATCCTTCCTGTCATTCGGAGAACGAAGAATGGGACAGGCTAGAAAGTGTGCAGGTGTGCGTCATATGAGAGGCCCCCGCCTTACATTTTCCGCCAAAGATTTGGGAAATTGGTCCGTGCGCAAAGCATTGTGGGGATTTGAAGACCGCAGAGGATACACTGGTGCATCCTCAAAATTTCCCGCAATGAAGGATTCAGTCCTCGGTAGAATTCCAAGGATCCTGGACATTGGAACAGTCCTTCGGCGGGATTCGATGACGTAGCATCCTTGAAATAGTGGCTCTGGAGGAGCCTTCCTCGACATTGAGAAACACCCATAGGCCGTTTCGAATTTCGCGGATCAATAACTCATGAACATAACGTTGTATAAATACAAACAACATGATTTTACAATCGTAGCAAGGTAGACAACGAGCTACAGAGTCGTTTTTATCAGAACAGTTGAATACATGCCGTCATCCGAGCTAAACATCAATAATTGGTCACAATCTGCGGCTGGAGGAGAGAGGAGTGCTTAATACAAGATTGCCCTCATAAACATTTCACACCACAGAGATTTGTCTTCCTTAATTACATCACATTAAATCACATGACATCACTTGTATAAATAAACTTGAGTACAAGATCTGAGTACTTCTACTTTTATTCAAGAACAAGATCTGAGTACTTCTACTTTTACTCAAGTACAAGACCTGAGTACTTCTACTTTTACTCAAGAACAAGATCTGAGTACTTCTCCCACCTCGGCTCAGACTATTAAAAATAATAGTAACATAACACATTTAAATTAACATATACATTAATACTATAAAACATTTCCTTTCTCGCTGCTCTGTTCTTTAAATGAACAAAATGTATTCCGACACACGAGGGTTTATGGACAGGAAATAATAGACGGTCTCTTCACGCTTCCTGAAACATCTCCTCCACTCTGATTATGTGTGCAGACACTAAAAACAGACGGAGCTCTTTGCAGGGGAGAAATGATCCCTCCTCACTGAAGAGCAGCGCTCATTGTTCTCCAAAGGGCATTCATTATAACAGCCGTTACTCATTGTGTGATTTATTCACGCTCTTTAAAAAGAGTCTCGAACACAAATATCTAAATGACCTCAGGCCATGATTTTATTTTATTTCTTACTTCGGATCGGATTTAAATGTTCCCTTTGTGGGACTAAATACAAACCATTTGATTCTGATGTGAAGATTGCGTTCGTCCGGTGGCCGTCCGGTGCTAACGTGCTAACGTGCTACAACAGTCCAGAACTCTCCCATCAGGAGGAACACGCTAAAGCTTCAGAAACGATGCAGATATTAAAACATAAATGTTCCAAAAGACATGAAGAACATCTTCAGCAACTTGACAACACATTCAGCATTTAGAAAACATGCAGCATCTTGATGAGACAAGAGCAGCTTTACTAAAAGCTGCAGATACTCAGGTCACTTTGGAACATTCACGCTCCTATTGGCTAGCGCTCCAACATGGTTTCAGACAGGAGAGGACTCTTTAAAGTACAGTCACTACATATACACCTGAACATCAGCAGGAGAGGACTCTTTAAAGTACAGTCACTACATACTGATATACACCTGAACATCAGCAGGAGAGGACTCTTTAAAGTAGAGACACTACATACTGATATACACCTGAACATCAGCAGGAGAGGACTCTTTAAAGTACAGTCACTACATATACACCTGAACATCAGCAGGAGAGGACTCTTTAAATGAGGTTAAAATGTTAACATAGGTTCAGGAGCATGGCCACGCCTAAAACTCCGCCTCGAACCACGGCCACCCCTATTTATATCCGGCAAAACTTCCGGCCACTGCTCGTCTCCATCCTTTCAAGGACTGACAGCCAGACCGTGATTCACGCCGCACGTCGTCACGGTTCAAACAAGCTAAACACTACCACGAGAACATTCAACTTACCATGGATCCCGAACTGCTGATCAACTCACCGGAGTTAGACGAAGATCTGTTCGACATCGGCTACCCGCCATCCACGTTTCAGCAGTTGGATCTAAGCCAAGCATCCGAATGGAGCCGCGTGCGCTCGGCAATCAGTGTCCCACACAACATACTGATATACACCTGAACATCAGCAGGAGAGGACTCTTTAAAGTAGAGACACTACATACTGATATACACCTGAACATCAGCAGGAGAGGACTCTTTAAAGTAGAGACGCTACATACTGATATACACCTGAACATCAGCAGGAGAGGACTCTTTAAAGCAGAGACACTACATACTGATATACACCTGAACATCAGCAGGAGAGGACTCTTTAAAGTAGAGACACTACATACTGATATACACCTGAACATCAGCAGGAGAGGACTCTTTAAAGTAGAGACACTACATACTGATATACACCTGAACATCAGCAGGAGAGGACTCTTTAAAGTAGATACACTACACACTGATATACACCTGAACATCAGCAGGAGAGGACTCTTTAAAGTAGAGACACTACATACTGATATACACCTGAACATCAGCAGGAGAGGACTCTTTAAAGTAGAGGCACTACATACTGATATACACTT